TGAAACCCGGTAATTTTTAAAAGTTACTCCAAAATTCACTTGAAGATGAAATGGAACTAATGCTTTTAATTTAATTGCAAAATTAAATTCGGGGTTTTAGCTTCTATTTTGGAACATGGTTGGAACTGTGTAGAAAAAAAAAAAATATATTAAATCAATTAATTTATAATATATATATATATATATATATATATATATATATATTTAATATAAAAAGGCTAAAACACTAATATTCCATGGTTATAATTTATTACATTGGAATCGTATCCCTGATCAATTCATCCGACCTACAAATTATATTGACCACAGATATTATTAATTTTATATATATATATATATATATATATATATAAACATATAATATTAGGCAGCATATATTTTATATATAAAGAAAGTGGTATGGTTGAACGGCGAACGAAGCATCAGTGACATTGAACTGGTTTGAATGGTTGTGCTAGTATAAATAACAAGTCAATTTGACAGAGGGTTTGTGCATACTGGCTTTGTTCAACTAGTTCTTTATATATATATATATATATATATATATGATATGTCCCAGAAAGGGATATATTTCAACGAAGTAGCTAAGTGGTTTTGGCTACAATAACCAAGTAGAATACTGTAGCAGTAATCGCATTAATGTTGCTGAATAATTACATGATTATTTCTGATTATTTAATATATATATATATATATATATATATATATATATATATATATATATATATATATTTGTGTGTGTGTGTTTTCGTGTGTGTGTATATATATATATATATATATATATATATATATACAGCAAAAATGGGAGAAGGAACAAATATAGTAAAAAATCTACTGTTTCTAGACTTACTTTTTAAAAAGTATTCACTTACTTTTTAAAAAGTATTCAATTATTATTATATTTTTATTAGAAGAGATTAAAATAAAAACATTTTAAATTGATACACACTGGTATGTTTTTATTATAATCTCTTATAATAAATATATAATATATATATATGTGTGTGTTAGTATATACTCTTACACACTAACACACACACACTGCATGTACGCTGCACACATGTACATATATATAATTGTTAAATACTGTATATGTAATTAAAATAAGTGTATACTTATGTCATGTTATCATTAATCATTTAATTTATTTAATGTTTCATTTTTATTTCTATTTAATCACTCGTTGTTAATTTGTTTTTGCCTTGGGTGTTAGATATTGAATTATTAATTATGGGTGGTTGGGTTTGTTCCTTTTTTCGTGTTTGTCTGTGTGTGCGTATCTATATGTACATGTACACACATGCACATATAGGTGTGTATGTTTAATATTTGTTCTTTTATTTATTTATTGATAAAGTAAGTTTGTATTACTTTTGTTTCTTTTATTTATTTAAAGTTTTTATTATATTTATTTTATTTATATTTATTTTTTATTTTAAATTAATGCTTAAATAATGAAGTAAGTATTTATTTATATGCCTATATTTGCACATTTTTCACTTTCCTTGTTTAAGAATTTATTTTGGTTTTTAAAACTAATTATTGCTAATTTTCCCTCTAAGCATACTTTACAACTTTTACTGTTGATACTGAATGGGGCTGTTCTTTTTATAATTTCCTATTTGATTTTGGTGGAGATATTGTCTTCTTTTTGGCTCCATATATATTTTGATATATTGTTTGTGTATTTCTTTTTGTATAACATTTTGTGGTTATATCTGTCTTTAAAAGTATTTTACTGTGGCACCTATGTAAATTTTTCCGTCCGTGTTAATACTATTATTTATGATAGCTTTGTATATTATGTTATTGGTCAAACATTTATTGTTAAGTGGGCAATTTTCTTTGTTTTTGCAGTTACATTTAATGTGCTGTTTTGTTGCATGTTATTATTATTGTTATTGTTATCCTTATTAGTTTTGTTGAGTATTTCTTTTATTGTGTTTAGTTATTATTTTCTCCATGTTATCCATGTGGCTCTAAGTAATTTTGATTGTATTTTTGTTGGTAATTTTTTGTTTTTAGGAAGGAGTTTGTCAATGATTTATATATGTGTTTTATATTGAATTATATTTCTTTTTTGTAGTTTTTGTTTGAATTGTTTTCGTTTTTGCATTCTAGTTTGAATATCCATGGTTTCTTAGGGCTGATTCATGTTTTTTTTTATTTTCATTGAATATTTTTAGGCTACTGTAATGTGTTGAATTTTTTTATTTCTAGATATGGGTGTTTGTTTAAATACATTGGTGGGGTAGAATTTTTGTTAATATATATTTTTGCTAATACATATTTTGTATCTATTGTAAATTCTAGGGTTTTGAAGGATTTTATTATTTCTTGTTGTATTTATTCTTTACTTCTGCTGTTGCAGTTTCTTAAAATTAATCAACCATCATTCCCATATAGAGCTTTTTTGTTAATGTATTTCTTAATTTATTGTTTATGTAGATGCCTATGAACACTCCATCATAGCTACCCTTGTTACATCAAAGTTATTATTATTATTATTATTTTCGCCCTTTTCATCCATATTTTTATTGTGGTATAATATTGATTTTCAAAGGTGTTTACTTATATTTATGTCCTCATTGGGGATAGTAATGTATTGTTTTTCTAAGTTTAATGTGTTGTTTAGTGCATGTTCATTAATAGATGGGTAGAAATCTTTTATGTCTAATTATGTGAAGGAACAGTTCTTTATTACTAATGTTATTAAACCAATTGAATATTGCTTTTGCATTTTTCCATTGGTTTATGTTTATTACATATATATATTATGAAATGGACAAAATCCAACAATTATTTTAAGACATTTTAATAATAAACAGTATTAAACAATATTTACCGGCCTGATTGTCTGAGAAATTTTCGTAGAAAATATTCATTTTCCGACAGAAATCAAACCTGTATCCTATACAGAACTGTCATATAGCCTGACGTGCCTTTAACTGATTTGGTTAATACATACATACATACATATATATATATATATATATATATATATATATATATATATATATATATATATATATATGTATTTATTCTATCCTCTAGGAAATATATATATATATATATATATATATAATGGGCTCTCCCGTCGGTTTCAAGGCATGAGGATTTGACAACCTAATTGATTCAGTTATGAAATTTTGTGCGATAATCTTAAGTGGCCCTTAAGATCCACTAGTGATTTACAAAGGAGGCCAAATATGGAGCAAGAGTAAGGATTGTGGGATGAGATCACTGTTAGATTGGCTGATCATTTAGATCTTGCTCTCACTTCTTGAAGACATTTCAGGCAAGCTGATTGAAAACTGCTGAGTCTACTAGAACATGTTGATCTCCATTCTACCTGCTCCAAGGCTAAGCACTTGAGTGTGTTATGAGGTATATTGACAGCTGACAAGTTGCTCTTCAGCTTGTCTTTGTATCTTAGCCATGGGTGTCCTACATTCCTGTAGTTCTGATCTAACTGGCTGTACATTAGGATCTTGGGTATCCTGTCATCATTCTCAAGACATGACCAGTCCACCGTAACTGAGATTGCATGAGAAATGTCTTGATTCCTCCAATATTACACCTGTCAAACAGGTCTACATTAGATGTCCTATCTTGAAAGTTAACTCCACAGATAGCACACAGACAGCTTTTATGGAAAGCATCCAGCTAGTGTATATGGTATCTGTATGCAGTCCATGACTCTGAGCTATACAAAATGAAGGCAAGGACAACAGCTCTGTAAACCCGAATTTTCGCATCCAATCGAATACCCCGCACATTCCACAATCAAATATATAAATATAATATAAATTCTAATTCTCTCCTCTTATATATAGATATTAGTATAAGTCAAAAGAAGTTCACAGATTTGGACAAAAAAGAGGAGCCCAGAATGACGGCAAAATCTGCGGAACTTTAAAGGCTTTTCTAAAATAGAAACTGTTATCTGGAATTTGGATAAAAGTAGTGAGAGCAAATATCGCAAATGCATCAATCTTACTGAACCTAACAGACTTAGCATTAAGACAGGAGTAAATAATTTTCATCAACATAGATACACTGTTGAGTCAAGAACCGCTGACATTGGGAAGGTTGTTGAAGATTAGAAAACAAAATAGGTCCAAAGATAGACCTCTGCAGCACATCCACATTAATGTAAAAAGATCTAGAAGAGTGGCCATTCAAGATAACATTCATTTTGCGATTAGATAAAAAAAGATTGAATCAAATCAAAAACTCGTCCAGAAATACCAAACTTTTCAATGTATGAAGAAGACCAGTTTGTGAAACTCGGTCAAATGCCTTTGAGATATTTAAAGCAACAGTCTGAGCTTCACCATTCTTGTCTAAAGCTTGTTAGTCTCTTTTTGGCAATAACAACACATCGGGAATTGATCTGGAGAAGTAAAAGACATTATTTGTCTGAAAGAAGACCATAAAAGGTGCGATACTTAACCAATTTGAACTTGATTAGAACCTACAGGACTTTTCCAAGAATTATCAAAATAATAATAATAATAATAATAATAATAATATAGTGAAGTTATCCTCTTTACATATATTTTTTTTACAATGATGTCTATCCCATATAAGACTAAAGAGCCACTCGAGGTAGAGGGTTACCAAGTTAGAGGTGGGGAAGATAACAGTATGTCAGGTCTTATCTGAACCACTTTCCATGGAAATAGTGATAAAGCAGTGAGAGGCTTGCAATGTTTAGTCTGTGAAAAACAGATTGCAAGCTGGAAAATAATTTGTCCCCCACAAGAATGCAGGCACGTTTTGGGACTCTATCAAGAGTGGAAATTAAAGACTGGGCAACTCCTGCCCATGTATGGCAACAGTTCTTCATTTTCGGCCTAATCTGGCTCTTGTAGAGGATAGCAGGCAGATTCAAATATTTACTGGAGGAGTACAGGGAACCAAACTTTTTCCATCGTCATTAGCAATCGATCATATGTATATGATGAAAACTTACCTTGGTTTCACAGATTCTGTACCTTTTCCTTTCACCTATGCAATATTTACCTCCATTGGAAGGACTGTAAATAGTAAGAAAAGAAAACAATTTTATGATGAAACAGAACCTGAGAAATAATACAGTCAAATCTAATAGCAGCTCAATTCAGTTTCACAAGGTATCAATTATATATAAGAGGGACAGGACACATATACATGACTGGGTGGGAAGTGTTATCCACAGGTAACTGTGCAAATGATTATGATCTGATGAAACAAACAATGAAATTAATCCAAAGAGATATATAGATTAAAAAGCTCATCTTCCTAAAAATTAAAACCAGAACATTATAAAGAAGTCCTGAAAAGTTTGCAAACTAACCAAGAAATAATATTCTTTTCCATCCTGAAAAAATTCTTGTTTAGTCATTTGATTTCAGGTTTGGTTTGGTTTGGTTTGTTTTGTTTTACCATATATCAACCTCAATAGATTATTTCATGCTGACAAGATTTTTACTGCTGGTAATATTTTTTTCAAAAATGTATTGCTGATAATACATTTTTTTCCAAAAATATACTGCTGGTAATATTTTTTTCCTTTTTCTTCAAAAAAAATTTTTTTTCTTTTTTTTCAAAAATATATTTTTTTCCTTTTCCAGAAATTCATACACAGATGTCCTCAAGGACACATGGCACAGTGGATAAAGGCATTAGTTAGATCCAGTGACAGGACCCAAAGAGTGTGAGTTCAATACCTGGAGAGGAGAATTAACAGGAGATAGCTGATAACTGATATCCATTAAACATGGCATGTGGAACTAGCACAGTCTACCCCAGTGAGCGAAATAAAGGGTTCAGTTTGTGTGAAATAAAGGGTTCAGTTTTAACATTCCAACCACCTGAAGAAGACTGGAGTGTCCATTGGCTGAAACGTTATGGTAAATATGCCCTCAAAGATGAGGAGAATAGTCCGAATAATGTAAATAGTGTACATACCTCATCTCAGAAATATAGATTTATAATACCCATAAATTCACACACAGATGTCCTCAAGGACACATGGCACAGTGGATAAAGGAGTTAGATCCAGTGACATGAGCCAAAGAGTGTGAGTTCAATACCTGGTTAAGGCAGTGGAGAATTTGGAAAGGGTAATTAACAGAAGATAACTAGTAACTTATATCCATTAAACATGGCATGTGGAACTAGAACAGTCTACCCTAGTGAGTGAAATAAAGAGTTCAGTTTGACTGAAGAAGGCCGAAGTGTACAATGGCCGAAACGTTGTAATAAATATAGTGAGAAAGATTAGGACAATAGTTCGAATAATGTAAACAATCCAATACTCTTTTCTGTGTTTCAAAACAAAATATATCTTTTTCTGAATCATGATCATTCGCCTGATGTCAGGATCAATTCCATGTCAATGATCATTTCTGTAGCTGTATGGAATATGTTACACCAGGGCTACATACAGTTTTGAATTCAGAGTTACTTTCTCCTAGACTGGTTGCAACCCAAGGCTATAAAACCCAGGCTGTCCTATTATTTACCCTCAGCTTGGGGAGGGGAGAATAAGAGGATTCATACCTTTCCTATGGGTATTAGCATGGAAGCCAATGTAATGGATCCAATTCCTCAATCTGTACTGCTATTCATTACTCCAACATGACACCATTTTTCTTAATACTTTGATTAGCATCTTTCTCTATTCCATGTAGGAGGACATAACATTTCGGTACTTTTTTTATTTGTTTCTAACAACAAAACTTTCTGGTTTATTAGGGTTCCACTTAGCTTTTGACATGCATCATTTACTTTCATAATGCGTTCATTTCGTTGTTACATTTTCCGTCTTATGTTCAGACACTCTCCAGATATTGAAACTGCTGTACGTCAGTAATTGTAAATGATACAGAATGTCTTAAGAATTTCTTTTTGTTTTTAATAAATAATTATAAGTAAAATCCACGAGAAAGATTATATTTAAAGGGAAACAACTCAGATAAAAAAAAGCAGAATAACCTCCCTTGTTATACGTATTTTAAATAAATTTAATACAATCCCAGCGGGAATTTTTTTGAGAGTAAAGCTTAGCGACTCTGGTGTAGTTCATCGTTGGCGGTAAGTTCGAGCCACTACTTTTGATCTTATGACAAAACCTAAGTAAGCTGCAGAAATATTAGCAGTAAAACCAAAACTTATAGACTATATTGCTTGATATATCTATTCTTAAAAATGGAAATAATTATTTAAATTAACTTATTGTAATTTCTTGAAAAATTCTCCACTTGTGCTTACAAACTTAGATAAGTAATCAATTTATTTAAATTTAATATTAAATTTACTTGAAAATTGAATTCATTCTTGATTATTATTTCAGGGCGTACAAAAATTTTGTTTTTAAGATATTTTAAAAATGTTTCAGCAATTTCTTTTCGTGTTTATATCGCTACATTTAACACGCACACACACAGACATATGTGCATGTCTGTGTGCATGTGTATGTGTGCGTGTGTGTGTATATATATATATATATATATATATATATATATATATATATATATATATATATATATATATTGAAACATGTATACTTTCTTAATATGTATATATAAAAAAGTTTGATGAAAAATTGAGGACAATTTGAAATATCAAATATATATATAAAAATAAATTTTCATTAAAACTTTTTTATATATATATATATATATATATATATATATATATATGCACACACACACTATAAACATATATATGCAATGAATATACAAGCACCTGAAGACATTTAAATAAAACTAGGGGTCCTACCTTTAGATGTTTATGTATATTTAAATACATACTTTATAGGTGTGTAATACCACATTGAGCAGTTTTGTTAAGGGTAAAATTAAATAAAATAAAATATTTATTTTCAAATTTATTAAAGTTATTTCTTATAGACTCTCATGTTTGAAGTAGATGCCTGATATATATATATATATATATATATTGTTAACTATAACAGACAATGAATGTCTATTATGTCTAATCATGAGCAGTTTTAAATGTTAGAATGAATGTTTGCTTTAATTTCGAGTGAAAATAAAGACAAAAATTATCCAACATTTTTGACATTGCATTTACACATATGTTTATGTTATTAATATTTTGGTCTCTCGCGTGGCACGACGTCATAGAACCGCATCTAGAACTTACGAACTGCGTCTGCTATCCCGCGACCGTTATTGTCGCATAGCAATCTTCTATGTCAACATAACTTTAGTCTTTATTTTCTCCCGAAATTAAAGCAAACATACGAACATTAGAGAACGGCTCATGATCAAACATAATAGACATTAATTGTCTGTTATATTTAACAATATTTGTTTAAATAATGATCACTGTCTTGTCCGTATATTGCTTAATATATTTTACAGTAATTGACATGTTTGATAATGGCTTATGTAAGCCGAAAGCTTAGATTGGATTAAAAAATATGGATCAATATTGTGATTTTCTTTCTTCGTTTAAATGATAATGTTATTAAGCTTATCAGACGTTATGAAAAGAATTTACACAAAATAAATTGACAACACTTGTCTATATTATTTAATGAAAAATGTATATATATATATATATATATATATATATATATATATATATATATATATGAAGTTCCTAGTGAGAACTGATAAAAAAAAACAGTATTTACGCTATTTATATTCGGACTGTTATCCTAATCTTTGTTGTTGTTATCACAAATGTCCGAATATAAATAGTGAAAATAATAACTCCCCATCCCAGAAATTCAGTATTTGTTTATAAAAATAAAAGAGCTAAAATATTTATTAAAAATAATTATATAATTGTTTCCTATCACACAATGATACTTAAAGTTTCATGCACATGGTAATTGTCAACCACAAACTAAAATTGTCCATTATAAGACAATTTTCAGTTTAAGCTTCCGCCTGATGATTGCCAAGTATATGAAACTTTAGCAGCTTGAAGCAATGAGAAACAATTTATTTTTTTTAGAATTCATTATAACATAAATATAGTGGATCAGCCAGTTTTAGAAAATCCAGAATTGAAAAGAATTTTATCTGATGAGTCTGCAAGTAAACTTACGGTGGATTGTCACAAAGACGTTGACTGGTGGAGACACCCCCACCACAAGTTCGGGTGCATGTTGTCCATTCGGCCCATTCTCCCCACTGCCCGTCTATAGCTTCCGGTCGATCTCCGATTAAAACACATTCACCTTTGAAACACCACTTAAAAAAAAAAAAAAAAAAATTAGTTAAAGCAAGCAAATGAATATTACGGAAGATGCAATTTGAAAAATAAAGGAATTAACATAAAATCAGATTAATGCACCTCCCCCTTTTCGTTCTTTTTCTTTTTACTAGAATTTTTCTACGACACGCTGATGCATGTTGAAACCATCACAGTATTTAGTATTGTGTAAATTATCGCTAACATTTTTGCCGAGTTTCACAAACTCTACGTTTCGTTCACTTACGCAAAATAATCGACGAAATTTGAATAACTGATTTATTTGGAAAAATACTTTGACAAAAACCTTACTTCGCGGTTTAATATATTTTTTTAAAATTTTATAGGACTTCATAGTAAACAATATTTTAAGAAAATTTCTTTTTTTTTCTTTTTTCTTATTTAACAGCGAAGAATAAATTCTTAGGATTTCTTACTCTTGAGCATGCAACATGCAATTGGCCATGTATAAATATTTCTTTCTGGGATCAAATTCCATCTTTTCGAAGTGTTTGGCCATATGGTTTGTTTATTTTGTCAATGTATGGCTATTTTAGAGGGTGTAACAGACGATAAAACTGAAGTCAGAGAATTTTTTGGTGTTACAACCACAATGTTTCGGACGTTGGGCCCTCCAGTCTTCTTCAGGTGTTTGCCAATCTGGATAACCACCAGGGAATTTGAAACTGAACCCTTTCATTTACGAGGACGATTTACTTGTTTCCACTCTTCATGTCATATTATTTATTTTTTATCCTTATTTTTTTAGTACTACATTGTAACCCGGATATATGAGAGTTGTCGGGACCGGAGAAGAAGTCTCATATATCCGGGTTTGGTCTATTTTATATACATTAACACAGGCTCTAATTTGGGACCAGAGAAAATCTCTCTTATATCTGGGTTTCTCTGATATCCAGGTCTCTTATATCCGGGTTACACTGTAATAAACTATTACTAGTCCTGTTTAAAATGAGGATTGTGATTTTGATTATGATGATATCTTTTTTCTCACAGCGTTTCGGCCGTTGTAATCTCCAACATTCTTCAGGTGTTCTTCGGGTAAATTTGAACTAGTGCTTTAGAAATATAATTTAAATAAGCTGCATTTCGGCAGCAAAAAGTCTCTCAGAAATGTTTGGTTAAATAATATGTTCTATCTTTTTCTTTATTTAATTTTTCAAATTTCCGAATTAGGTGTTTTGTTTTATCAGTAAATTTACTAAAATTCATATTTAATTTTATTTCGATTATATTCTTCCCGAGTACTTTCGAATGTTGCTACATTTGTTTTCAAGAATTGTTCTGTGTATATTTACTCAGCTGCTTTTTTCCCGGTGTTCTCATGTATGATTGAACCAATTTCAAATAACTCAAAGTGACGTCATATAAACGTTCATACCGCATTTAAATGTTTTTTTTATTTTTTATTTTTTTATTTATTTTTAAACACACTTAAATATACGATCTCGTATGGAGAAAGATATCTTATTTACTGTTGACTGATCCTCTTTTTACATTATTCGGACTATTGTCCTCATCTCTGTCGCCATATTTATTACAACGTTTCAGCCGTTGTACACTCCGGCTTTCTTTATTTTGATCACTGGAGTAGACTGTTCTAGAAATTGATACACAGATGTTCCCAAGGACACACGGCATAGTGGATAAAGGTGTTAATTAGATCCAGTGACAGGACCTAAAGAGTGTGAGTTCAATACCTGGTTAAGGCGGTGGAGAATTTTCAGAGGAAAATTAACAGGAGATAACTGATAACTGACAACTATTAAACATGTCACGTGGAACTAGAACAGTCTACCCCAGCGAGCGAAATAAAGGGTTCAGTTCGACATTCCAACTACCTGAAGAAGGCCGGAGCGTACAACGGCCGAAACGTTGTGATAAATATGGGAACAAGATGAGGACAATAGTCCGAATAATGTAAATAGTGTGCATAATACCTCATCTCAGAAATATGGACAGATATTCCTCTTTTATTACAACAACCTTAAAAATTTGGAGTCTTTCTTTGCAGTGTCCTACATAAAATTTTAGTGTTATCTACCAAAATTTGTTTTACGTCAATAATATTTTACATATTTGTTATATGTTCATATGTATGTGTGCGAATTGCAATAAATTTTAACAAATGACAAGTCAATCTACGGGAGAATGTGGTGTATATGTGGCCAATGTTCGAATTTAATATAGATAACTTAATGTAGATTGGACTGTGGGATTGCGAATAAAAAGAGGAAATGTTTAATTTTTTTTATTTCTTTTTATTTTGCGTATGAGAATCGATTATATGCACGAATTGACTTTAATTTAGTATGAAATATGTTGTAAAAATGAAATTAAAATTATCTGGGACCTATCAGCCGGGTTCACTGAAAGAGAGGAGAAGCAGAATCAAGTGCCCTAAGGCCCGTGCACACCCAGTCAAAAATTAATATCAAATTATAAGCCTCAGTTGATACGAGAAAACGACTAGATTTTTATTAATTAGATACGGGTTGTGTCGTTTCAAAAAAGAAAAAGAAAGAAAAAAAGAATGGAATTGGTTTCAGGATACTTGGATATAGCGCGAAAAAGTAATAACTTCAAGAAAAGAAAGCAACTTTATCCTAATTCTCAATACGTCGCTCTCACAGTTCGTTGCCATCGGTAGACTTGTCTCTGCTCTCTTAAGAAAATGTGTAAATCCCAAACTTTCATCTCGTAAAACTCAGATTTGAAAAATAAAATACGCCTGGATCCGTTACAAAAACAGCTATTTCGCAAAACAGTAGTTTTACAAATGGAAGGGAAATAACTGTGCACAAAACAAAGTTTTTTTTTTGTGTGTGTAGCGGTGGGGGGGTGAATTAAATAAGTACAGAATCTAAACACTATCTGGGAAGTGTTTTAAAAGTTTATCAAACTCCCTGTATGTGAATACTGGATAATTTCTTCACAGCTGAAGAGGAGACTTAAGTTAACAAAGGAGTGGTACTACAGAAGGATGCTGAGAATACTGAGAAGTTTTAATGAAAATTCAAACAAATAGCAGCCTTAGAATCCGAAAAAGATAGTCAGCACATTGATTGATTCATTCATTTTTTTTACGGCTTATCAACTCGTTGTAGGTTATTTAAAGCCAGAAAATATTCTTAGATTGTAAGAAGTTCATGTTCATTTTTATTTTATATTATTTTCTTCCCGAATCCTTTAAAATATTAGTCAATTCATTTTCAGTGATTGTTCTGTGTATATTTACACAACTGTTTCTTAATTCTGATGTTCTCATGTTAGATAGAATTAGAGTCATTCATATAAAGAGTCAAATTGAAATTTTTATGCTTTTTTTTTGTTAACTCTCTTTAATCTATGCTATCTTCCTATGTAGGAATCTACCTTATTTAATGTTGGTTGCTCCTCCTCTTTTATTACAACAGCTTCCTGAATTTGAAGTCTTTCTTGCCCCGTGTCCTATATAAAATTTCAGTGTTATCTGCTAAAATTTGTCTATATATATATATATAGTGGATTCTCCTGTTGTATTCAACATATTAGAATCAAACAGCTCAGTTCTATTGACCAGCCTTTAGACACCAGCACATGAGATTTGATTATAGTGGTGAGGTTTTCGTGCAGGATATCCATACTTTTTGATGAAGCCAAATACAGAAACCTGGTGCACTAAGACATGCCACAAGGACCCCAAATGAACCTCTGTAGGTTTTGAATTTTTTAGTTTCCTTCTCCTAGACAGTTGCCATCCAAGGGGAGCGAAACCAGTCTGTCCTGCCATTTACCCAGGGCTGGAGGGGAAGAAAGAGTTTTAATACTTTTCCCAAGGGTTTTAGTACATAACTGAATGTAATGGACTTACTTTATTTCTGACTGGCTCTAAATTCCTCAATCTGAGCCACTATCCTCTATTCACTATATATATATATATATATATATATATATATATATATATATATATATATATATATATATAAATTATCTATATATGCTCTGTATACATTGAACTCTTAAATGGATCAGTTTTTTTTATTGGGATTCACAGGTACTTAGCCATAGATTTTACCTATATATATATATATATATATATATATATATATATATATATTTATAAATTAATTGATTTAAAAATATGGTTTTTTCGCTACACAGTTCAACCATGTTTCAAAATAGAACTAAAAACCCCGAATTTAATTTGCAATTAAATTAATACATTAGTTCATTTCAAAAAAATTCGCTTGAAGATGAAATGGAACTAATAATTTAATTTAATTGCCAAAAGTAAATGTTTCAAAATTTTAGCTTCTATTTTTGAAACATTTGAACTGTGTAGCGAAAAAAAACCATATTTAAATCAATTAATTATAAATTAATATCTAATAATTTACATTGAGCACTATTTTGTAAAATAAAATATCTAAAAGAACACCGGATTTTTTATCTTCTTGTTCTTTTTACATATATATATATATATATATATATATATATATATATATATATATATATATATATATATATATATATGTATGTGTGTGTCTGTGTGTGTGCATATGTGGTGAATGTTTGTGTCAGATTTGGCAGTTTGTTGGGTGCAACTATTATTATTGCTGATACTATTAGTATGATATCTGCCATCAATTTTCTATTGTGGTATGATATTTACCAACTGTTAGGAGTAGGAAATATTTTAGGGTCAGGGTTAAGGGTTAGACTTAGGGTTAAAGGTTAGGTTTGGGGTTAACGCAGTGAAGTGTTTATGTATTAAAAATCCTCAATTTTTTTATACGAAAAAATTCAAAAAATCCTCACTGATTTTCATGTTTGTAAACTGCTTTAATATCTTTTAAAAAACAGTAAACAGATCCTCATTTTTTCCAGAGCAATTCCCAGCAATAATGAGTACATTGTCATTTACGATAGATTGCAAATACCTCGATACAGTAGCATCGTTTGTTGTAATCAGATAAGAACTAGTCCTTTTAATATG